TGCTTGGTTCATACTCATTAACTTCTTCTTTCTGGCACTTATAAAGCCCACACGTGGCAGAACAAGGGGTAACTGGACCTCAGATTTTACCCAGGAGTGGAAGCACAAGAGGTGAACTATTTCACAACTCTGTTTAAACAAGTTCCTGGTTTACTTTGCCTGTCTAGCCCACAAGTATAATAATTATACAACCTATGCTCAAAATGAGGCTGCACGTGACCTAATAATACAATAATCTTTAAAAGAGAAATAACCAACATCTCCAATATCCATCCATCTATTACTGTTATTTTAAATCTTGATTTCCTTCAGATAGGCCTAGGCAAAAGGATTACTTAATTCTCTGTACATATATATACAGCACCAGGAAATATTGTGAGAGAGCATTCCAGTGCTGACTAACATGTTCTGATATGCAAAACCATCACCAAGTAAGATTAAGTTTTCCTACACTCCAGATTCTTTCCAACCTGTTCCCACAGCTGTTAGATAAAAAGTCTCAGAAAGTTTAAATGGAGAAGCACTTGAATAATAACAACCATTATCTGACAACCTCCCAAGAAATCATCTTGTACCAGAAGAGACCGAAATTTCCAAATGACAGACAAAAATAGCTACTGCTTGGATGAAAACTTGGGAGAAAAAAATGCTAATGCCAACTTCACTCAAACCACTCAATTTTTATTACTTTTCACTGGACACGGTGAAAAGCATTTTACCCTGGATTATGCAGCTCAGTGTGGGCCCCTAATAAAAGGCTTCATTGCAAAATGGCTGTATGACTAAATGAAACAATGGCTTCTTTATTAAAATATTTTAAAGACTCCTGAGGGAAATGCGGACGGCTGAAATGCCCTCAGTGAAAGGTTCATTGCCATGCTATGCACTTCTGCTGTGTAATGTTTTACAAGCTGAGCCGCTCTGTGAATGGGGAGAGTTAGTTCTCGGCTGGCAGAGGCAGCTTGCGTAATACCAGACAAGTTAATGGGTAACAAACAATGCAGGAGACCTTTGTTCCAAGTGTGACACACACAAATTCCACACTAAGCACGTTGACGCTTCTGAGGGTTACTCATTGACATGCTTTATTAAATTGCTTGGACTATACCTCGATGCACCAAAAAGGACTAGTTTAACACAGCTACATCCTTCTGATGTCTTCCATCCTAAACTGTTGCACTTTAACCTCAGCACACGGATCAGCTCATTACTGGTACAGAAGCATTTCCAGGGTGGATGATAGTGAGCACCTTGCAGCACAACCACATGTCCAGACAATGGCAGTGGGCAGCTAAGGAGGCAGCACACAGGAAAGGGCAAGGTGGCAGCCAGCAGAGTGTGCTTCAGTAATAACAGGAAGTGGTTATGGAAGCATGTGTTGTGCTCCCTTCTCCAAAGCAACTGCTTCCCTGTCCACCCTGAACAGCTTGCTAAAATGCCACCCTGCCCTCAGCCTCCCTGAAGTAATGGAAAGGGAAAGGAAAAATAAGACATGCTTCTCCTGGCACAATCTGGAATGCCAGACCAAGGACAGCTGGCCTCTAGCAGGTGGAATACATGCTGCACTAAAAGCTTAGGAGCAGCACAGCTCTTAACACTCAGCACAGCATTCAGTTTATACCAAGTCTGAGGAAAACTATCATGGTTTTCATTGTCCACAGCACCAGCCTGGACAAAACACTTCTGCTGAACTGGAGCATCCCGTCACCGCTCACTGCACAACATCACCACCCATCTCCCCAAGGCCGGATCCAGCCGGCTGAACTTCCAGTGCCAGAGCTGTGGGAGTCTGTCCAGCACATCACCACAGCTGATCCGTCCCTAGGTGATATTACTCGTTTGCTTTAATGCCCTAGGAGCAGTAAGCCAGTCTCACTGGTGCAAGGCTGAGCAAAGGAACAAAGAGCCTCCAGCAGTTTGCTGTATAGTCAGCCAGTCCCAGCCCTACACTTGAACACCACCACACAGCTGAAATTCAAAGAAGTGACAGGGAAAAAACCAACCATCATGACAGCTCTCTCAGAAGACAGATGAAACCCACTCTTTGAGAACAGCAAAGTCATCCCCCTTTGATAGGTTATTTTCATGCCTGTGAGTGCCACAAATAACTCTGAGGCAAGGGAAAAGGCCAGCAAATGATACTCAGGAGGTCCTCGCTCCCGCCCGTCTGGAGAGCCCATCTGGAGAGCTGCCCGTGACGCTGAAAGCTGACACGGGGCTGGTGCCCAAGGAGGAGCCTGACGCACTCGGTGGCCATGCGGCGGCACACGTGGTGCCAGCTGAGAGCGCCCGTGGGGACACAAGACTGGGAAGGCACTTGGCACATTTCCCACTCCCGTGAAAAGTGGCTTGAGAGATCATCCCCCTCTACAGTTCCACCAGTAGCCTGGCAGGCACACAAAGGCACAGGTAAGCACACACCCGCAGCAATCGTCACGATATTGTCCAAGATTAGTCACCTAATAACAGCGTCGCCCTCAGCAACAGGGAGAAGGCTACTTCACCCAGAACTCAGGTGCTATCCGTCCCACAGCAAATCCTTTTTCATGCATGTCTCGCTGAGGGCAGCATCCTCTCCCTCTGTGTCTAAGTACACACACACAAACACAGGTATGACTATTAAGGACTTGGTAATTATGCAAAGAAACCCCATGAGACTGATTGCCCCAACGCCATGGCACAGGCACACAAAGCCAGCCTGGGTGGCTCAGCAGGCTGCACTGCAATGGAGAGACCTTTCAGGTTACCCCAGATGTGTGCGTTCTATCATCCCCAGAGTGATTTTCTGCACTGCAATGCCCTTATGGAACTGCTCAAGGAACACACACAAAAAACCAAAACCAAAAACCGTGAACTGCACAGTATGAGCAATAAGTTTGGCAGAACATGCCAAAACTCAGAAATTCTGGTTTTGTTATAACTGCAGTTCTGGGTCACCGTTTTTTTAAATTATGCGGTTTCCTGCATAATCTGAAAGGTACTAAGCCACTTAAGACCCAGGGAACTGAGGTGTGTGTACAGCACCACCTCCTGTGAGAAGTTTTACTCACTGTAGTTTCAGTGATGTGAATAAGGCCTTTATGACTGATTTTTAATTTGCCTTCACTTCTTTAAAGAGAGATACAAACTTTGAAGTCTGGTAGCCACAATACTTTTATCACTACTTTGATTAAGAACTATTCCAGGAATTATCAATTTTAAGGAAACTTCTTTTGTCTAGAGAATGATGATTCATCAGGTCCAATGGTATATTGCATCAAGATATTTATCAGAAATGTTCCTCAGGTCAAAGATGGTGAATTGAGGAACTGAATCATCTTTTACCACACATAGATGATACATCTCTAGAGTGTGAAACAGAGCAGTTCCTTGGCATATAAAATCTGCATGTTCCAAAAGGAACTGCCTGACTCAAAAGGAACATGAAAACAGGTGAGTACTGTAATTGCTCTCTCCAAATAGTACCTGCTTTATACAAAACAGAAAAAAACCTTGACGAGAGGTAGAGCTTTGTACCTACTTTCCCACATTACTTTGGATATGGGAAACAAATGCAACCTCCTGCTCTGAATGAATGTCATATACAACATCAGCTGCAGGTTGAACCTTCAATCATGAAATGCATCATCTCACAAATACTCCATTGCTATCAGTCTCCCTTCTCTAATCTTCCTCCTTTCTTTCTTCTTCTCATTAAAATGGGAAACTGATGACAAGGCTGAGAAAACAGACTGTTCTGAGATATTTGTATCTACCCATTGTCACTTGTAAAAATACAGTTTGTACTGATAAGAGGACAAACAAGTCTATGAAGTGAATAAGTAAGTGCCTGACCTAGTAAGTCAAACAACTCATCTAAGAGATGAGGGCAATATTCACATTCCGGTATCACTAAACTAGGACTAAAAAAGAGCACTTACAGCTCTGCAAATGAAAATACACTGATTTTACTACTGTGACCAGTCACGTTTAAGGCTCAACTGCATCTCCCCTTCTTTCTTGAGCCAAAGTGAGTTATTAATTAATTCTAGTATTCTTTAGTCATTGACTAAAATGTGAAGTAGTTTGTAGAACAAAGACAGGAGTTAAGGGTCATACTGGTGGAAGCAAGTGCTCGTGTTTGCTTTTGGGGTTGGTTTGTTTGTTTGAGGGGGTTTTAAGATTAAAAGTGAACTTTCCTTTATTCAGATCCATGGAAAAGAGGTCTAAGAGAAAATACACAGAAAAACTGCTGTACTACATTATTTAAGTATAGTGTTCTAAACCAGGTGCACAAGCTGACCTTTATTTAGTTAATTAGTCCTTGTTCCCAACACAGTGTTGTTCTGTTTCTTTTCACCAAGTACTCCTTAGTCATGATTTTTCAGAGAAAGGTCACAACCTTGCCCTTCCTAGTGACAGTCAATTAAGTGCAAAAGACCAAAGCCACCTAGAGTCTGGCTATTAACTTCCGGAAGCATTTTATCTAATCCTCAATTACGTAGCTCATCTCCTCTAAGAAGTCTCCATTTGTAGACAATGAGACAGCAGTTGCCATTGCAAATTCTTCAAATTTCAGCTAGGTCTGAAACGGGGTGATGAAAACTGTGATAAATCTTAAGATAAACACTGTCTGGCACAAAAGGTACCGAAGTTCTCAGTAAGTCACTAGTGTGTTCCCTTCTATAAGGGAACATGCTTTTGTTGTGCTTCTATAAATACTATGCATTTTTAGGCCCACCACAGAATACTTGGTCAACGAAGGATCTTCCCTTTCCATCTCCATTTGGTTCTGGAAGTTCAGAAGTCACAAAACCAATTAACACACAAACACCAACCTATTCAACTTTCTATACACAGTGTCAACAGCAGCAGTTCCTCCATGTTTCCAGGATCCCTTGTACACAGGACACACAGCCACAGCAGGAGTCAGGACTGTGGCAGGGACACCAATTAAGCTACTTTAGCATTAGCAGTGTAAATACTCCACACACCAACCAATAAGTACAAACCCACTGTGCTCAATTCAAACATTCACTACTTTATTTACACACTAAACAACATTGAGTGATGTCCTTTACAACTGCTGGCTTAACCTGGACCTTTACAGAAGAAACTACAGACTGATGAACAGCCATATTCTGCACACATTATGCCTAAGGTAAAAAAAAATATCTTAGATCCCTTTCCCAAAATAAATACAATCAATAAGCTACTGTTAAAAGTATCAGACTGCACCAAGAACTGCAAGGTGTGTAGTAAGAGTAATACCAGATCAACAACTTCAGTCATGATTGAGCTGCAGGATTCAAAAGGCAAACAAACATAAGGGAGATCCTTGAGAAAGAATGCCAGCCTCAGTTTTTGTTTTCGAGAAGCAATTCTTGCCTCACTTATAGTAGCTCTAAACTCAATTTAAACAACAAGCAAGATCTGCTTTGCACGAACATAAAGGCAACAGACTGTGGAAAATTCTGATGGAGTATTAAAATATTCTTTGAGTGTTGGCCTGTTTAATTTTTCCCTTACAGGCTGTGCCTTTTGTTCTGCTGCCACCGGAAAGCCATGGATGAGGAACTTCAGGCCTGTCTGCTTGTATAAACCCTAAAGGTAAAACTAAAAGTTGTCAATTTTTAATGACATTTTGAAAATTGTCAAAAAAGCTGCAACTTTGTTTATATTGGTTGCCATGTTCAGGGTTGAATTTCACTAGTCCGTGCCATGGGATTTCCTAGTGAAAGCACTTTAACCCACAGGTTATTTCATGGAGGAAGATGGTGATGAAGTTAGCTCTTCCTCACTCCCCTATAAAACCACCCTTTTGGCAATGTAAAATTATCTAAGTAGGACAGCACTTAGATAATTTTAAGTTATGTTCAGTGATTCTGCTATACCTGACAGCAAAGCACTCACAAATACATATAGACAGCAAAGAATCAAGCTGCGTATGCACTGGAAAAGCATCTCCATTGACACAGAGATCCATCAAGATTACACACCACTTCAACCCCTTGCTATGGACCTTAGTTTTGAGGCACAGAATTAAGTGAATGAGCTTTTTCTGGTTTTCATAGTGAGTACTTCTGTCTTTACAAATTCCCGTAATTTAACATTTTCTCATTTTATTGGACTTTAAATTTTGGCATACAACACCAAAAGCAGATAATAATTACTAAGTTAATATAAAACACAGGAAATATTAACTGATGTGTGTAAGTATGATTGTCTATAAATAAACACGGGCCCTATCTGGAGGATTTGAATCCCTAGTGCCTGTAATATTCCAAGCTCCACACAAGTTCACTGTAGAAACAATCTAATTCAGCAGTCAGGGTGGTGGTCCAAGAAAGGGCTAAGAAAGTGTCTCTGCAGAAGCACTGTCAGGTACTGATGTTCAGACCCAAGGACATATTCAGACAAAGAGAATTCTCTTGAGTTTCATTCCATTGAATATTTCATTGTACTACATTCATTCAAGATAACTGCATGGATGAATTTTTTTACAATGTAAGAATTAACTGAGTCAAACACCCTTAATAAACTCCCTCTTTTTGTGTCTAGTCTGGTCTACTACACAGCTACTCCACATAGAAAACACTTACTGGCAAGTGAAGCATTTTACTTGACACCTTCCTGTGATATATGAGAACATATTTGCCTGGCAAGCCTTACCTCTAAAAGTCCATCTTCAGGCAGGTCTGTGCAGTGAACAGCATTCTGAATCTTGTCCTTCCCAAAGACAGCACGCAGAGTTCCAGGTCGGAGGTGACGGGCCAATGCCTATTGAACACAAGCAAACCAGAAGACCTTTGTGAACCAGACTGCTCATTTCTATCACGGATGCAAGAGAACCTTATAAAGTAAAACATTATTATGCTATTCAAATATGTGTAGTACACTATAAAAGAAAATACAGATTGAAAGCAGCCCTCAGGAGAAGGACTTGGGGGTGTTGGTGGACAAGAAGGTTGACATGATCCAGCAACATGCCAACTGCATCCTGGGTAGCATCAAAGCAGCATGGCCAGCAGAGCAAGGGAGCAGATTCTCTCCCCCTGCTCCACTCTGGTGAGACCCAACCTGGCATTCTGCATCCAGCTCTGGGGCACCCCCAACAAAGGAAGAGTGTGGACCTGTTGGAGCTAGTCCAGAGGAGGGCCATGAATGAAGCACCTCTCCTGTGATGACAGGCTGAGAAAGCTGGGGTTGTTCAACCTGGGAAGTCTGCAGAAGAACCTTAGAGCAGCCTTCTGGTATCTAAAGGGGGCTACAACAGATCTGGTGAGTGACCTTACTAGGACAGGCAGTGATAGGGCAAGGGTGAATGGCTTTAAACTGAAAGAGAGCAGGTTTAGAAAAACACTACAAAGAAATTCTTCACTTTGAGAGTGATTAGACACCGAGACAGCTTGCACAGAGAAGTTGTGGATGCCCCATCCTCAGAGCTGGTCAAGGACAAGTTAGATGGGGCTCTGAGCAACCTGGTCTAGTGGAAGGTGTCCCTGGCTATGGCAGGAGGGTTTAGAACTGCTCGATCCTGAAGATCCTTTTTAACCCAAACAGTTCTAAGATTCTATGAAGAGAGAAATTCCAACCTGTACTACACATCTAGACAGCTGCTGAAAAAACATAACCATGACTATGAATACCTGCTTGAAACTGGGCCAATCTAGCTATGTTGGGTGGCATACAGGATCCTTCACATTGCAGAAACACTGTACTGATACTTGTATTAACACAGCTAGCTCATGTTAAGACCTTTGCAGCTCCCAAGCACAGGATGTGCTGTCTGTGAGAGACACAAATGTGCTGCTTTGCAGATCGCTTCCCTTAACATGGAGCTATATGCTTAAGAACCTGACATTTGTGAAGTCCAGTTGCTGAACATCATGTCTTCTCCTTTGACACTGTGACTAGTGACAACATCTGATCCCCTCTAAGGATCAGACCAGACTCTATATCTTTCTTTGTTCTTTGAAATTAACATTTCAATACTCTTCTTCATCTACAATGCCAAATACCTCTTAAGCCTCTCAGAGGCCTTTCTATTACAGCAGATACTCAGGTCCTGAGATAACATTCCTCTCCTACATCTTTACTGTGGTATTTCTCTTCATACCCTGGAGGACTGCCTTCATTGGCTCTCCCTTCCATCATACTCTTTCTTTCAAGCCACAATGAAGTCCTGCTGTACTTCTGTGCACTATCACCTTGCACTGTTGTCTTTTAACCCCTTTCCTATGCCATCCACGCACTTGGCCTCTCTTCCCAACACCCTGGAGGCTCTTCTCCAAGATCTATCTCATGCACAGTGAAATTAACCTGGTTTTCTCTCCTTAAAACCCTTTGGATGTTCTCCCACAAGTGCCCGTGAGGGGACAGGTGGACAAGAAGATCACACTACACCTACTGAACAAAGAAAAGTATTCTTTCCTTGCCAACAAAGCTTTCATCAGCCCCTTTCTGAATAGGCATGGGTACATTAGGGTGCAATCACTTTGGAAGTGGCCAGTGCAGTTTCACTGTGCCACTCCCGGGTGTTTGTTTCAGCGTCACAGCTGGAGGTTACTATTCCCACAACTGAGTCATCAAACTGGATTGTCCAAGCATTTCTTAACTTTCAGTGTCAAATGGGTTCAAATTGACTTCATCAGTAGCTCTTAGCTGACCTGCAAAACCTTGCACAGGTACAAATGAAAACCAGTCCATGATGCACAGTCTCTTCTGGGATGGCAGTGAATGTTTTAAGCTAGTTCCAAAAGACCTCTCAAGACCATTATCTGACAAGCAACACCCTTTGTCCACTTTCCAGCTTCATCCATTATTTACATCTTATTACCAAACTAAGACAATTGGACTTGAGCTCAGCAAGTCCTAAATATTTTCCTATCACGTTACTAATTATTATGGTCTGTTACCCACCCAGAAGACAATTAAACTGCTTTAATGATTGGAGTGTCTATAACCCAAAACATGATATGAGAAGTTTCAGTTCCTCATTGTTATTGTGTGTACATCACAGGTTATATAAGATCTTTTGATACGAATGTCAAGGGCACACTCAACATCAAACAAATTTTGCTTCAGAGGAAAGTTCAAGAGTTTCACTTAAGAAAAAAAAGCCCCAAGGAGAAAAAAAAACCTCTTCTACATGGTCCTCATTAAAGGCTTGCAATAAGGAAGTCTGCTGGAGAAACAAAAGTCACATGTCACTTAACTACAACTATGTGACACTTTAATCAAGCCTTCCTTCAAGTTACTGTTGATTGCAGTAACAACTAGCTGTCAGGAAGCTGGCAATAGCACTGGAGCTTTCAATCATTTTAATGAAAGTTTGGGAAGACTAGACGAAATGATCATGGCTATGAAACCTTTGGAAATAATTTCGGAACAGGTCAAGTCCAAAAAGCTAAGCTTGGTATTTTATATTCTGTTTACATCAAAAACTTTTGCTCAAACTGTTCTGTCCTCCAACAGGTGCAGAAATGCTGCTTCTTATGAAAATTCCACAAGATTTTCCTTGACTCATCTTCCTCATCAAATCCACTTTTCTTTTTTTTTCTTTTCTCCCTGTTTTTTAAGAGCAGCTATGGTCTCTTAGCTTACCATTTGTCCTAAGCTGTCATTTCTACTTCACAACTTCATGACAAAAGACATTGTGTTTCTTCCTGTGGACTCACTCTCTCATTCATGTGGGCAAAAGCTGCTGCTGATGTACCTTGCAATCTCCTGTTCTTCCTTTTTTCAGTGCAGGTTGCTACACATTCTAGCGCCCTCCTGAAACTCTTGCACAAAGAGGGATGCATTCTGTTCTACCTGGAATTGCACTGGGTCAGACCTGCTCAAAGGTAGGTCCTTCAGCACTTTACACTGTTAGCATCTGATTAATAAGAATCTAATTAAGCCTTTCCATTAGACAGGATGAAACTGCCTCTGCTTACATTTAAATAGCCAAAAAAAGTACAATAATTGTCAGTTCCAAAGTTTTACTATTCCACTGCTTTCTTATTACACCACTGAGGAATTATGAAGAAACAAGGCCTCTGTAAATGATGGGGATACAAAGACCTGTACAGCTCATATATTGTGTCCTTGTGTATGTATGGCTGGAAATCTTGAGAATGTTTCAGGGAAGAAAAGAGTTCATTATGGAACTTATTGCTCATAGGCAAGTATTAATACACACTCTACTGGTCCATGACATGAAGCTTACCAATCATTTATTTATAAAGTCTCATCTGTCTCAACAGGGAGATACAAACAGTGGGCTTTGGGTTGGTTTCCCCATGCCCCACCCTCCCCTTTTAAATATTTTTCCTAAGCTTTTGGCTGAGTCTATTTTCTGGAGTATGCATTTTGTGCAATGGTTTTCAGAATTTTTTTGAAAGGAGTTGAGAGTGGGATCATGAAGGAGTTAAGAGCAGCTACAGCTCTACCATATGCATGAGAGGAGACCGATGTGTGTGTGCTGGAGCTTCGTGTGCATGTGCAAACGGGGATGACACAAAACTGGCACCTCACACAAGAAGACACTGTCTATGGCAAAACAAACCATGGCTGCTGGTCTCATTCAGCAGGTTATTTGATCACCCCTTACTACTGGGCTTTGATCTGCAGATAGCCCTTTGAAGATCCTTGAAGATCACATGGGATAACCCACGTGAGATCCAGATGCATATATTTCATGTTTCTCTTTACCATGTAACTGTGTCCAATACAACACTGCCTGCTACTTTGCACATTTCTAAAATTTTTTCTATTTCTACACAAGTGAAAGGAAACAAAAATGTCACCAATGCCAGTAATATGTCAAAATCAAACTGAAAAAATCATAAACATATTCATAAGCAAAGCTCATTAACTACTTTTCCTCCAAAAGGCTGTGTTTTTTTCATGGGCTGGATAGAAGTTATGTAGAATAGTAACATGTATTCCAGCCAAAACCGCAGATTTCAAGAAAATTTAGCCAAAGCTGAAAATTTCAAGAAAATTTGTCCAGTTTTTTTCAAGCACTGTCCGTAATATTTAATTGGTTATCTAGAAAGGCCATTGAATGGATTAAAACTACACAAAGGAACCTTTACAGCCTAAGATTTTGTTATTCTTAAACATGAACTAGAATGAAGTAACCTTGAAAATTTACTGGCCCTCTTGAATGAAGCAGAATAAAAATAACAGTTTGATCAAACCCTTTCTAACCACAGTGTGCTCACCAGGCAAGTTTCTTCTTTTAGTTTTGCTTTCAGTTCAGCAGCATTCAGAGGATCTCTTGGGCTGCAGCAGACTGCACAGAACACTCTGCACTCTCAGGAAAAGTTTTCCTATTCTAGATGAACCCTGGCTGTGGTGCCTGTTCTTTGCTCTTCTTGCCATTCCTCATTCATCCCTTTCTGAAGGTTTTGCATTGACTTGGTCTCACCACCTCTGCCTTCCCCACCTTGCATTCATGAAGTTTTTTCCCCCTGTAGTTCTCCATGCTCTGCTGCTGTCAGGAATGAGATGGTCTCTCTCTCCCCTTGAGGCTGCCACCTAATCCAGAAGGCAGAGCCAGCCTCAGGCAAACAAGCAAGTGCCCTTCTCCTCATAAGGACCAGCTATGCCCTTGTCAAGAGAACAGAACACACATTAACTGTGAACAAATAAAATAATGTAAATTCCACCATTCACCTTGGAATTTGTCTGGCTGGCCTTTAGGCATTGGAAAGCCTACTGCCTCATCCAAGCAAGGCACCAGAGCTTCCTTTGTAGAGCATAGAAACTATCTAAAATAACATTTGCAG